AGGTGTTTTCTGGTGTCAATACTCAAACGTTCTTTTTTAAAAGAATTATTTATTATATTAAATTTATTATTATTTTCAATTTGACCAGAGAGAGACAGGGAGGGAAGTGAGAAATCAAACCACCAGGTTGGGGACTTGAATCAACAATGACTGGCCATGTGGGAGTCCTTCGCCTTAACCACTATGCCACTTGCTGGCCCAATACTCAGACTTTTATCCAACCAGGTGGTTTTATGGGGGTCAACCTTAGCGGCCACATCCCTTTGGCCACATGGGGGAGCTAGCAGTTGGTTGGTGACCGGCCTAGGCAAAGCCCGTCAGTGGGATTTTCCGAATTCCGCACAGGAGAGAGGAAGCCCTTTATCTTCTCTGGGGTCTGTGAGCTGCGATGACCATGTATGCTAGGCGCCGCTGGTGACCACGCAGCCCACTGTGGAGGGAGCTTTCCGAGGGGGAAGAAAATGAGACCGAGATACTGAGACCCCCAAGGCCAGGAGCAGGAAAACTAAGTACGTTTGTGCCCCTGGATCTGGCTGCCGGGAGGCTGGGAGCAATGCCTCCTCCCCCATGCCTAAGTGAGTTAGAAATGAGTTCTATCACTCGCAACAGAAAAGGTTTGGACTGCAGGAACCAAAACGCCTCCTGGTCTTCCAGAAGTTGCTCCTCCGGCCACGCCACAAGCCAAGAAAGTCATCAGAAGAGACTCGTTCATCTCAGAGCTTGCTGGAGGGTAAACCAGATAAACTACACTTTGCTTCTGGTTTATCTTTTTTTTTTTTTGGAGAGGTTTTCGCTATAGGGTGCGTGTGCTCACCAGACAGAGAGAGACATAGAGACAGAAAGCGAGAAATCACCCCCCAGGGGGGATGGTCACGCCGCAATCCCTTCTCCTCCACTCTCCTCTCGGGATCTTGGGCACGCACGCACACACGCCCGGCGTGAGTTTTAAGCCACCGGGTCCGGGATGCGAACCGCGGTCGACTACATGGGAGTCCAGCGACATAGCCATTACTCTAACTGCTGGTTCCCGCTTCTGGTTTATCTTAAAAACATGGAACGCTTCACTAATTTACATGTCATCCCTGCTCAGGGCCGTGCTAATCTTCTCTGTATTGTTCTAATTTTAGTACATGTGCTGCCAAAGCGAGCACACAAATATGAGTTTTTTGGTTTCTTTCTTTCTTTTTTGCTATGGGGCTTGTGCTCGAGCTTGGGAGAGAATGAAGGGAGGGTGGAGAAAGTGAGAAATCACTCTCCAGGAGGGATGGCCATGCTGCAACCCCCTCTCCTCCATTCTCTACTTGGGGTTCTGGGCATGCACATGCACACACACACACACACACATGCCTGGTGTGATTTTTCAAGCTGCTGGGTCCAGGACTAAATTTGTGAAGCTGGATATATGGGATTCAGCACTTTAACCTCTATGCCACCTGCTGGCTCTGATTTTTTTTTTAAAGATGTATTTAATTTTATCATTGTTATTATTATTATTATTATTTTATTTGACCAGAGGGAGACAGAGAGGGAAAGTGAGAAAGCAACCTCCAGGTACGGGATTTGAACCATGGTTGGCCATGTGGGAGTCCAACATTCCAACCACCACAGCACCTGCCAGCCCCGATTTTTATTTTTTCACATGATAGGATAGTTGTGAGGCTAAAAGACTCAAACATATATAAAAAAAAGATGAAATGTACACAGTCAATATAATCTTAAGGTATTATTTGATCTTGCAAATGAGTGTTATCTTCCCTCCTGTGGACATGCTGAGACTATGTTGTCCTTTAAATGTGACAATAATCACACACAAAGGGAACAATTTCCAGAATATCAGCTAATATCTACTCGCTGTGTCCCTGGCAATGAGCCAAGTGCTTCCACCTAAATTACTTTATTTAATCTTACCAATAATTACATGGCACTTTTATCATACAGCGGAGGGAGTTGAGGCTTACAGGGGTGGTTATTACTATTATTATTTTTAAGAGAGATTTTTGCTATAGGGTGTGTGCACCTGCCGGAGAGACAAAGAGACAGAAATTGAGAAGTCATTCCCCTGAGGGGATGGCCTTGCCACAGACCTTTATCCTCCATCCTCCTCTCGGCATCTTGGACACACACGCCCACTCACCTGGCCTGAGTTTTAAGGCACTGGGTGCAGGACTCGAACCGCAGTTGACTACATGGGAATCCAGTGACGTAACCATTATGCTATCTGCTGGTCCCCAGTGGTAGTTCTTATTCGGGGTGAGCTTTCCCCTAGAGGACATTTGGCGATGTCTGGAGATGTTTTTAGTTGTCACAACTAGGGTAGGTGTTTTTGGCATCATGCGAGCAGAGGCCAGGGATGCTAAAACCGTCTCCAAGCACGGGCCAGCCACAGCCACGCTCTAAATCGGAATGTCGACGGTGCTGGGGCCAAGAAACCCGGGCTTAGGAGAGCCCAGCCAGCCCCATTGTCCCCCATTTGGAAAGTCAATTCAAGTATGATTTATTAAGAGAATATCACGTTTTTCCACTAGGGGCCAGCACCCAGCTGAATGCAGAGAGGAGAAAATGTTCTGATATTCCTCCCTTTGTTCTTTCTAAATGACCTCTCTGTCCCTAACTTGGGATCCCCCAGCATAGGCTCCTGAAGGGAGCGGAGCGATCCCTCTTCATTCTTTCCATCCCCCTGACATCCCCTTGAGACCTACTTATCTATTTTCCAGCACTTGGGGACTCTGGTAAAATAATCCATGCTCGGGGCCTGCAGGTGGCATGGTGGTTCAGGTGCTGGACACTCCCACATGGCTGGCCACGGTTCGAGTCCCGGACCTGGTAGCTTGCTTTCTCACTTTCCCTCTCTCTCTGGTCAAATTAAAATGAATGAATGAATACATAAAATTTGAAAAATAAAAAGAAGTGGGCAATAAACAAGTAAACAAATAAACCAAGAAATGGCTAAGCGTAATAAACACTATGAATAAAATAAACCAGAATGAGCCAATGGAAACCAGGCAGGGACTTGTTGAGGTCTGTGGTAGTTTATCTCACTGAAATTTTTCCAGTTTTAGTCAAGGCAGATACCATTGTATTTTATTTCAGGTACCTTCGTATTTTATGACCTACCACACTTTGCAGTGTTAGAATTTGAAAATCTCTCAAAAAAAAAAAAAAAAAAGAATTCTTTTTAAAAAATAATGGAACCAGCAGTTGGCGTAATGGCTATGTCACTAGACTCCCATGCACTCAACTGCATTCGAAGTCCCGGACCAGGTGACTTAAACTCACTCCAGGCGTGTGTGTGTGTGTGTGTGTGTGTCCAAGATCCTGAGAGGAGAATGGAGGAGAAGGGATTGCAGCGTGGCCATCCCCCCGGGGGGGGTGATTTCTCGCTTTCTGTCTCTCTGTCTCAGAGGTGAGCGCCAGTGCCCTACAGCAAAAACCTTTAAAAAAACCCCAAAAACCCACGCTCACAGAAGACTGCAGAAGGCAGCTTCATCCTCTCAGCCAGGCCTCCCCAGGAGAATTTCCAGAAGGTCTCTCAGCAGAGAGGGTCCCAAGGATCAGCTAAAGGTTGAGGACTTGGCAGTGAGGAGAAAGATGTCATGGCAAAGAGTTGCCCTGGGGAAATATCTTCAGGGGCAGAAGGTGAGGTTCTCTCCCTCTCTCTCTTTTTAGATTTTGCTACAGGATATGTGTGCTCACCAGAGAGAGGGGGAGAAAGTGAGAAGTCACTCCCTAGAGGGGCTGGGCAGACCGCAGTCCTCCTTCAGTCTCCTCGTGGGAGTTTGGGCATGCACATCCATGCAGCAGGTGTGATTTTCAAGCTGCCGGGTCTGGAACTTGAACCACGAACTTGGTCACGTGGGACCCAGAGCTTTAACCTCCATACCACTTGCTGACCTTTTTATTTATTTATTTATTTTTTGAGACTGCATGCATGCATGTGTGCGAGAGAAGTACTTTCAACAGGTCTTGTGATGGTGTGGTCCCCTTTCCCCAGTTCACAGTTCCTGAGGGTCCTGGTGCCGTGCCCTGGTTTTCAGGTTCACCTGGGATCTGAACCCACGGCTGGTCTATGGCTTCCAGCTCATCACTGCTGAGCCCCACCCACTGGGCTGAGGCGCTCGCCCTCTTAACCAGTGTGCTCTACTGTCTCCAATGGGGCACACACCCCTCAATGAAACACACTCCACGCGTGCACACACATCATGCAGCCGCACTCGAAGTGGGGGGTCTGGGTGTTCAGCATTACCGCTCTACCTGTTTCTCAGGTTGCTAATAGAGCAGGGAAGGGACTGTTTCCAGGTCAGTGAGAATGCCCTACAGATCTGGGGGGTGGGGTGACTGAGGTTGCCCTAAGGAGCAGCAGGCGAGGGGCTGCCAGGGACCTGATGTCATCACCCCCTTGTACACAGCGAGGGAGGCTCGTCGGTCTAGGCCGTCTGCCTGGTCGGTGCCACTGACCTTGTTCCAGATGAGGACGGGGGTCGGGATTCCGATGACCTCACAGCTCAGGTACACCTGGGCACCGGTGACGTTCCAGATGTCCTTGGGGGGCGTCACTATGGAAGGACCTACGAGAGAAGGCGCAAAGCCAAACCATCTTTTAAACAGCTCTCGGCGTCCCAGAAAGGGAACACCCCACCACCAATTATTGAAGCAAATTTCAAAGGCCAGACTGGCGTCTCCCAGCCCCCAGCATGACTTGAAGCTCCGCTTTGGGAATGAATAAATCTAAACAAACAAAAACAGGAAGAAAAATTTGTTAACACAATTTTCTACTTCCCCAGCCATGCTTAAATGAGTTTCAATTTTCCAGCTGTTTCACATTGTCTGGGACTTTTTAATACAGCAATATTTTAGTTCCAAAATGTTTAATGTTTTTTCCTTTGTTTATCGGCACTTCTTTCTTCTTCTTCTCCTTCTCTTTCTTCTTTTTAATGAGAGAAAGGGCAAGGCTATGCCGAAGGAGGAGAGAAAAAGGGAAAGGGGGGGGCGGGGACAGAGAGGTATTTCTGACGGGGTTGCACCGTGGCAACCCTCGCCCAGCTGCCCGGTTAGCGGGGACCATAGGCATGTGCTGTCGTGCCTGGCCTGCCTTTTAGGTTGGCTTGAGGACAGAACCCAGGCCTCTCACACAGCCCCAGCCTTTTGTGCAACACCCTCTCGCGGGCACCACGGCGGCTGGCGTCGTTTACCGGTATTTTTATTTTTTGGGGGGGAGAGGTTTTTGCTATAGGGCGCGTGCGCTCGCCAGACGGAGAGAGACATAGAGACAGAAAGCGAGAAATCGCCCCCCCGGGGGGATTGGCCACGCCACAATCCCTTCTCCTCCATTCTCCTCTTGGGATCTTGGGCATGCACGCACACACACCCGGCGTGAGTTTTAAGCCACTGGGTCCGGGACGCGAACCGTGGTCGACTACGTGGGAGTCCAGCGACATAGCCATTATGCTAACTGCTGGTTCCCATTTACCAGTATTTTTATTTTCAAAAATAATTAATTTTATTCATCATGATTATTATTCTTTTTTAGTTTGACCAGAGAGAGATAGAAAAGGAAAGTAAGAAAACAAGTTGGTAGACTCAGGACTCGAACCACAGTCGGCCATGTGGGAGTCAAATGCCTCCACCATCATGCCACCTACTGGCTCCTACCAGTATTTTTATTAAGGAGGACTTCAAACAACCACTCCTTTGGTAATGAAGGAAGAAGAGCCTAAGAAAATATTTGAAAACATACTGAGCACCCAGGCAAGTTGGCGTTCTCTGCCTCAAGAAGCTTAGGATCTGAGACCGACAAGTCGATGGCGATGAGGCAGGGATGGAGAGAAAAACATGGCTCCTGGGTGCCCTGGGGGATTGGAAGGTGGCAACTTTCAGCGGAAGGGGCTGCTGTGGGGGAAGCTGTTGCAGGGTCCTCCTTCTAGTGCAGGTGTGGGGAGGCGGCTGGTGAGAGAGAAGGGTGACAGGCCTGTGGTGTGTGACCAGGATCCCCATGGAGAGGGCTGTTTCCCAGTATCCTCGGTGCCCTAGCAGGGGACACTGGGAAGTGGCAGGCTCTTTTAAAGGACTACCTGAACACAACAGGTTTGTGCCCACTGGGGTGAGGGCAGAGTGACACCCCTCCATTCCTCCAAATTCTGGAACACGCCCCTCACCTGCTCTATCGCGGCTCCCTTTAGTGAGATCTTTAGTAGGAACTAACATCGGAGGTGTCATCCTTTTCGCCTCTCTGCCCTGGAGTGGGCTAACTATGGCCCAAGAACCAAATCTGGCCTGTTAGCTGCTTTCACAAGGCCTGTGAGCTAAGAATGCTGTTTGCGTTTTCAAATGGCTGAAAAAATGAAAAGGAAGACAGTATTTCTTCTTCTTTTTTCCCTTATGCCAGAGGGCATATATGCTCGCTAGAGAGAGAGACAGAGAAAGGGAGAACGAGAGAAAGGAAGCACCTCGACCCCGTGGGGAATGGCTGTGTCGCAGTTCTTTCCTCCCACATTCTCCTCTCGGGATTGTGGGCACACACACACGTGCCTGGTGTATTTTTCAAGTCTCCAGGTCTGGGATGTGAACCATGTGGTCAGACATGTGGGATCTGGCTGCCCACCAGGCAACAGAGCTGGCCCAAGAAAGGTAACATTTCGTGATGTGACAGTTGTAAGGAATCCACGTTCCCCTGGCACGCAGCCACGCCAGTTGGCCCATGTACTGTCTCCGGCTGTTTTCCTGCAGCCGCAGCAAAGACAGGCGATTGTGACTGAGCCTGGGAGGCCCCAAACGCCGGGGACCGGGCCCCCCGCAGAGGTGTGCCAACTCGTGTTCGCATCAGCTGTGACGCCTACACAGGGTATTCAGGACCGTCTCAGGGCGTCAGTCCTTGACACATCCCCAGAGGTGACCATGGCAATCCAGTGGGGGACTTCCGGTGCGGCTCGCTCAGGAAGCCACCCGGGCTGGAGGGGCATGCCCCTTTGTCGGAAAGGCCAGCTCCCCGACATCTGCAGCAGAGACAGAGACGCCGCCTTGTTAGTGGGGAGAACGAGGGTGTCACTTCTGCTCATTCTAAAACCCAGGGTTTGGCCACCAGGTGCCTTCAGGGACGCTTGGGACAGTCCCCAGGGAAGGGGATGCAGGACTGGGAGCAGGGCTTCCTGTGTGCAGCAGACTGCTCCAGACCACGCCTGGCTCTTACCCGCTGCTTGGCACTGCTGCCTTCTTTGTGTGTTTGTTTTCTTTCTCTAGTTTAGTTATTTATTTCCTCCATGAGGGAGCGACAGAAGGCAAAGAGGCACTCCCCCACCCCAGTCCTGCCCCCTGCGGTCTGGATGCCACAAATCACCCCCGAGTCAGCCAGGCCTGGGCCATGAGCATGTATGTGCCTGGTGCATTCAGGGAGGTGTTTGGACACGATCGTCCTCCCACGTGGGTCGCCTTCACAGAGCGTCATGTGACCACTGTGGCCCCGTCTGACCCCTCGGCGCTGTGTCTTGAAGGCACGAGTTAATCAGGCTCTCTGAATTCCAGATCCCTGCTGCCTCGCGTCTTCTGCATCTTCTGACCCCGTCGAATGTCGAATAGCCAAGTGCAAGGTCACCTCGCATCGGAGTCCTGGGAAAGGGACAACCTTCCCTGTAGGCCTGGAAAGTTTTCCGGCATAGTCAGCACTCAAAGGATACACGGTCTCCCCCTTGGCAACGGGTTATTTCCAGCGTGCTATTAATTTCTTGAAACAGAAAGGAAATGACCCAGTGTGCAAGATTTTCCCACTCAACTGAAGTCTTAGATGCTGAGGGTTTTTTTTAATCCCTTGAGATATTTTTATTTTTTTCCTTCTGTAAGAACATGCAAAACAATCGACGTTTTTGAGAGCTCTAAATACATTTCATGCTTCCTTCCCACCAAACTGTAGGTCCGAATAGGACGCCAGGGTCCTTGGCTTCTCTGCTGCAAACGTGGCTGGGATGAGCACAACGGTTCTGAGGTCAGTGCGCTAAAACAGAACCTTGCAAAGGCCGAGCCTCACCCCATCCCGGGCTTCCTCCAGGGACCTGGGGCCCCCTGGGGCTGGCTGGACTTTGGACCACTGGCGCCCACCTCTCTGAGGGCCTCCTGCCGCTGTCCTTCCTCCACACACGGACTTGGCAGGGTGACCTCAAGGCTCAAGGGATCTCCAGGGATCATTCCGAGAAGAACATGCCAGTGTTCAGGGATTTGGAACGGCTCAGGAACACAGCTGCCTCTCACGTAGCAAAGCACACGAGGAAGGCAAGACGTTTTCTCTGTGAGGCTCTGTGTGCCCAGCCTTGCAAGAACTCACTTGTTTTAACCCGTGTCTATCTCCCTGCCATCACTACAGGAAGCAGAGTCGTCAGTCTTGGACAGAGGTCAGGCTCTGGAGTCAAGAAAGAGTTTCAGCCTGATTTTTTGATAGAGATTTTAATGACCAGCTATAGATTTTCCTATGGCACATTTTTGTTTGTTTTCTGCCATAGGGTGTGTGTGCACTTGCTGGAGAGAGACAGAGACAGCGGGAGCCGCAATCCCTTCTCCTCCATTCTCCGCTCGGGATTTAGGGCACGCACGCTGTGTTCCTCGAGCTGCCAGATCCAGGACTTGATCACATAGTCGGCCATGTGGGACCCAGCCAACTTAATCATGCCACCTGCTAGCCCTCCCATGGCACATGTTAAAAACAGACATTCTTAGTTTTAATATAGTCAAATTTACCAAGTTTTGTCTTTTTTGAGAGTTTTTTTTTTTTTCCTATAGGGCCCATATGCTTGCTGGAGAGACAGAGAGACAGAAAGTGAGAGATCACCCCCGGGGGGGATGGCCATGACACAAACTCCTCTTCTCCATTCTCCTCTTGTGATTTTGGGCACACATACACACACTTCCAGTGTAAATTTAAGCCACCGGGTCCAGGACTTGAACCACAGTTGACTACATGGGAGTCTAGTGATGCAACCATCATGCTATCTGCTGGTCCCCCAGGTTTTATTTTTTATGGCTAGTGCTTTTTGTACCCTGTTTAAGAACTTTTTGATTAACCCACGGCTATAAAGATTCTCCCGTTTATTCCTATAAGCTTTCATGTTTAGATTTTTGGCCCATCTTGAATTTGTTTTGGAGTATGCTGTGAAGAGGAGGTCAAGGTTCTTTTTTTTTTTTTTTGCCTTACAAGCAGACCCAATTGCTTCAGTACCACTTGTTGAAAAGACCATCCTTTCCTCTGGAGTTGGAATGATTACCAAGGCTTTCGTGGTAAGTCCACGGCCAATACACCTGTGGGTCTGTTTCTGGACTCTGGGCTGTCCCATTGGTCTGCGTGTCTGTTCCAGCATGCATCCTTTCCCAGGGTACATGCTGGAAACTGCTAAAAACTGGAGCGCTGGGTAGAGGGAAGATCGAGTACATCCATCTCCTGCCAATCTCTCCTCATTCCAAGAAGCAGAACATTCCAAGAGAAGCAAGAATTCCTTACAACCAGAGTCCAGGAATATCTCAAGTGAGCCATTTCCAGGGGGTTCAAGATCAGGGCAAATCAAGCTGGGGGTTCCCCTTTTCTCTCTCC